GTATTGAATAATTCATGTTATAGGTGTATATATATATATATATCAACCTTGTATCAATTTAAAACTGTAAGAAATTGTCACTAATTTACAAATTATCCACATTATATTTTATTTATAAAGATGAACACTAAAGGTGAGATGGTGGACATTTTCATGGAAATATGTGTAAATAGATGATATGGTTTTAAACAAGTCTGCAGCCAATATTAGACGAGCCAGGCGTTTAGGTACAACTTATTATTTAGAATGTATTATATATTATATAATATGTATACATTTTGATAAATGTTATTATATGATAAATTAATAATACATAATTTTAGATTCTGAGCGGATGYATTGATTTTACAGTGTTTTGTATAATTTTTAGATTTTTTGTTTACGGTATGAACTATACGTGGGGCATGTTTTACATTTTTAGTTCTTATTCTCATAATATATTTTTAACTTCGAAATAATCTGCAAATTTTAAAGTCGTGCCTATGTATTTTTAATATTTTTAAACTGTTGTTATTGTAACAATACGTTAGGAGCCTTGTATTAAATTTTAAAATCTTAGCTAAAAAACAAACATTTTAAAAACATGTAACTCAAAATAATTTACAAATTTTCAGGGTTGAAAATTCCAGTATGAAAATCCATCTAGGTTGAATAGTCACTGAACAAATAAAAGTCACATTTACGACGTCATCACATTCTGCAGTAAGTAAATACATAAAAATAATACTATTAGAGCTGCTATAATATGAAAACAATAATAAAATATTATATTGAGAGCTTATAATAATATTTATTTAACTCCATGAACTATCAGTATAAATAATATTTTTTTAGGCAATATTATAGAAAAGTGTATTAGCAAATATGAAAATTGTTAAAATTAATAATTATTCATCCAGACATTATAAGGATTAAGATGAAGTAAATCTTCGTAAAAATTCGAATAAAAATTATCAAAATTGTGTCCAGTTCAAGCATGTTATCATATAAAAGCTTGATTTAGGTGATATTATAAAATCAAAAATGTTCAATTCATTTATAAATCATTAATATAATATGACGTGTTAAAATATACACTTTTACGAATAAACTGCAGCGTCATTAATTTCTGTGATTAGTAAATTGTTTTTCTAATTTTCTATAGGAATTAACTACAGGAATTTCTCATATTGTGCYAATTATTACATATTTTATAAGTATAATAATATTTACATTGCTCTGAAAAAATAGTAAATATATTATTATAAGCTCATAAATAAATTGAATTTGTTTAATTTTAACGATTTTTTTTTTTTTGATTTTCACAAATAAAACTTACGATGAACATTGTATTAMATTTCAAGTTTTTTGATCGAGTAGATATTTTTTGATCAACATTAATCTTAATAACTAATAATAATCTAACGTTTTCCTTTAATTTTWATTTTTAATTTTCCTTGCTTTTTTTWAAACTACTAGGAATTTTAAATTTTGACCTCTCATATGTACCAATTTAATTCATTTTCACACTGGAGAAGATATTGAAGTTGAAAACCGAAGCATTATTTTGACTACTTATCGTGCATACAGACACATAAAAAAGAAAAATACACACAAAGCATTCTAAAATCAATACATTCATCGCACCACTCAGAATCTAAAATCAGGTCACTATTTTGTATCGTACTTGTCACGTGTACCTATAAAATCTGTAGTAGTGTAGTGGATGTGTTAAATTGTTATACAATAGTAGCCGGTAGGTATGTAGTAGCCAGTAGGTACCCACATAGGTTGTATGCAATGAAAAATGACATTGAGCCGAAACTGCTGCAGTCTGCGACTCTGCGTCAGCCTTTATGTTGGTAACTTAAAATTTGTATGGCAAGAAATGAAAAAATACATTTTAATGGTCATTTATAGGTGGGTGATTTACCGTTATTACTACGACGATGATATCATATTGATCCTGCGTGAACCGACGATTAAATAAGTACACCTACTCGTTGTCATGGTGGCAGTGTTTCAAGGTCGCAAATATTTTATTTGAACTGCGTGTATAACTGCCTACCTACTATGTATGAGATAATTATATTACTTAGATACTAGATAGACACTTGTTAACTGCATAAATACAAAAATACAATATTATCCAGTACGTAGGTATATTATATTTCTTTAAGCGTTAGGTATTCAGTTATTACCTCAATTCATCTCAGACCACAGTTTTAAAAAAATACTGCACAAAGTGTTAAAGCATTCCGTTACCTACTTCATAGACGTTTATGGTCAACAATGTGATAGGGTAGAGCAGATAATATATCATTGAAAAAATAATTAATGATTTATTCAACTTACTAAACCATAATTTGATAAACTTACTTAAACAATTGAATACTTTCTGTGCTCTATTTTACTTAAAAATATTGTTTCACTGTTGCTGAAATAGTATCTTTATAGTCTTATCTTTGGTAGGATATTTTAGTTTTCCGATTAAAAATTACACAGGTTGAACGATTGTTAAACCTGTTATATTCACCATGTTCTCCTAAATTTATTTTGTTATGATAATTTTTGAATGTGTAATCACGATGTTGTCCATACAAATAATTTTAACTTGAAAGTTTATAAGTTCACTTATTAATAAATCATTAAAGAAATTAATATATTTGAGTTATTTCCAAAATAGGTTAGGTATACATTTTCTTTTTTAAATATTATGTTGGTTCTTGCTTGTATGTTTTAATTTTTAACATATACTGACAAAATAATGAACCTACTTAGTACCTATACTTAGTATAAAATGTTATTCAATATAATATTTCATGCATGATTACACACATTTTTTACACTCTAGTTCTCAGTTTTCTCGTCATCCACTTGTGTGGCTGTGTATCATGTTACTTTAGCTATAGCACATCAATGCTATGATTTATTACTTGAAACTTTAAAAGGTAAGTATCTAGTTAAAAATATTAAAACCAGTATTTGCAAACAAAGAGATTACCTAACTACTAACATAATATATAGGGCACATATACATTTCAGTATTTCAGATATTGAACAAAATCATAACGTTATTAATAATAATATTGATGCTATTTTAAGTTTCTTCAAATAATATAAGTAAATGAGCTTACATTTATTAGATGCTTAAATTTTTAATTTGAATATTCAATCCATTGAAAGTAATATCTAACATTAAAGCAGATTATAGGTAGATACTAGATGCAGYGCATAAATAAAATGAAACATATTGTGACCGATTATTGATTAACATTTCAGYCGAACATTTTTTATTTGAACGTTTATATTAACCTAAATATTTATTAATAATAGTTCTAACAAATATGAAATAAAGATATCGCGGCTGACTCACCGATCACAATCGGCCGTTTGGTCACCACTGCTACAGAAAATATATAGATTAGAGAAAAAAACATCTTCCATTGGCCTATGTGTTTGAGAGACAAAAGGATCTCACAAGGAATAATTTTTAGATTTTTTTGTTGCAGAATTAATTATTTACGCAACATTTTGTTTTAAATTTTCATCCTTATAGTTATAAAAGTGAAACGCTTTATAAATTTTGTTATAAACGTGTCGATATATTTTTAATATTTTCCATCCGCTATTAGGTACCTATAACAACTTATGGGGAACCTTGTATTAAATTGTCAATTTTTTACCCAATGAATATAATTTTATTGACATTTATAGAATAAAAAATAAAAAATATACAACATTATTTCAAATATCTATAAATAACTTAAAWTTTTTTAGAAAATTTGATCAAGTATAAGAATTGATGAAATAAATAATATATAGTGTAAATCTCAAGTTTCTTCGCAGTTCTACAATAAAATAATAATATCTGTAAACAAAAGAAATGTAGTGAATATCCAATRTTGAAACAATTTAAAATTCAAATGCTCTTAAAAATTTAACTTGACTATCTGGTAGAGATTTTTTATTTGATAAAARTAGACAAACTTATGAAAAATCTTTTATTGAATTTACAAAGATTAGATTTTCAAAGATAAATTTTTATGAATTTCTATCTCAAAATTAATTACGAATTTTCGTAATTTTTACGTACTTTATCAAATTTCCAACTTTAAATACATTTTTTGATATGTAGGTACCTACCAACCTACCAACCTATGTATATAAAAAAAAAAAAACGAAAAAACATTGAAAACTGTAATATTGTCTATTAACTTAAAAATATTTGATATATTTTGAAAATGTTATCAAATATACAAAGTGCCAATATTGATATGGTGAAAATTTCATGTATCTACGATAATTTGTATTAGAACTACACCAATACCTATCTAAAATCGATTTTCTCAAAAACCGATTTTGCATAAAAATACCCGTTTTTCAAATTTTAACTACCCAAGTGCACCCATCTAGATTCACTTTCTATCCAGAAAAGCCACTAAAGTTGAAAACTGAAGCATAATTTCGACAACTTATCGTAATATTCCGCTCAGAATCAAAAAAGAAAAAACAGTAATATTATTAAAATTTTGTATCAATAATAATATTCCTTATATAAAATATTTTTTGTTTAGTTTAACAAATGTAGTTACTGCATGCGTTTATATAACATTTAAGAACTATCTACAGAGCTAAGAAATCTATAAGAATTAAAGAATTAAGGCATTGATCATATTATACTTAAAACTAGTAAAAACTAGCAACTTATATCAATACGTGATAAGGCGTTCAAAAATCTGATAAAAGTAAATGATTAGACCATGGATCCAAACTTTTTTCATGCGTAGATCACGGATCCATTCAGCAACATGTTTTGGGACATAAAACGTATCGTTATCACTAGTAACGGACGATTTTGAGAACCAATTGTTCGGAATGACGTCAAATGCCTAGTAGCGTTATCTCTTGATGTCCAATCAAACGTGGATATCACATCAACACACGCTCACACACGCATTCACGTACACACAGRCGTCTGAAACATACAAGCACACACGTACACATATACACACACTYGCATACCTATACATGCCCACTCGTACACATTCGCATTCGCACCCATTCCCATACATACGCGAGTGTTCAGCGTAGTGCGCGCGCTCACACATAGACCCATAGTAAATAGTACACACACACACGTTTACAGACGAGCAAATTGGCTTTTKAGCAGCTTACGTCTTGTGCGCTGCGAGCTTTTCGTCATACTACCTTTACAAGTGAGTTCGCTGTTTTGGTTTGACAGTTAACAATAATTCTGGGGCAAGTAAGACGTCCCATAATGTATTATTCTTCTAACTGCAGACGTTGATTTGCCCACAGGGCGCTGTGGATATTATGTCATCCGACAATGCTGTCGGCGGTGGCCAGTCAAACCCAGAGATGGTCAGGGGACAAATATTTGACGTTGGTCCGAGGTACACCAATCTGTCTTACATCGGCGAGGGAGCTTACGGAATGGTCGTGTAAGTACAAGTCAACAGGATTAAACTTTTTTTTAAATGCCTGTCAAAATCTAGCATCCGTCTTGTGAATATCTATTCTATGAAATTTATTGAGTTGCACAAATACTTTTGGAAATTATCTCAAATATTTACATGTTAATTATCCTTTTTACTAGTTAGATATTTACATTGTAACTACCTAAGTTATCCTGGTTTAGATTAAAAACAAGTTATTTTCTTAAACATACTATATTAAATTTTTCTATAATATTTAATTCTTATTAATTTATATTTTATTTATTACTAGTTCTTTACTAATCAAATAGTTTCCTAAGTCTGGAAGAAGCACTTTTAAGTATATATCACACACCATAATATTGTTTATTGAAGAGAGCTTAGGGGGAGMTATTTTATATTCAATTTTCTTGTTATGTACCTATATAGAATAAACATTTTCCATGTCATAGATACAGATGTAGGTTTCAGATTAAATATTTTCATTATTTTTTATGATTTATGGAAAGTTGTAGTTATAACTACAACCAAGGAGGATAAAAATGTTTTCCCTTCATATAAAATATTAACCTCATTTGAATGTTACTAGTTAACATTTTTCTTCTATTATGGAAATTTGGTACCATGATTTTCTGCCTTTGTGTAACACACGGGCAATTTAGATTTTTAGCCGTGTTATTTGCTAAATGTATCGATAGGAAGCAAGCAATACAAATGTTGAAAACATATTTGAATTGTCATTAAGTCTACTTAAAATTAACTTTTCTACATTGTTGATTTTGTGATGTTAACTTCTGTCTTCTGCAAAAATGAAAACGTGAATWTTTTTTAATATTACGTTTTTAGRAATTAGAGAGATATCAAAATGTGGGAAAATCAATTAGTATAGACTACAAATTCAATTTTATTTTTAAAATTCTTATTGTTTCATTAGATCAATTGGTATGTTTGGCAAACAAAACGTCTTAGATCATCCTGTGTCATGTGGATTAAACAGAAAGAAATTAATGGTATTTAATTCCCTTAATTTAAAATATTAATGATAGAACCTACATTATTATGAAAAAAGTAGATAATTATTTCAAATTTGATAAATACCCAGAGGCGTCCCTGTAGTGGAAAGGAAGGGGGCGACCTTCCCCCCTCCCAATAATGTGGACTGACTTACATAGTAATTATTAGTGAATTTCACAATTTATATTAAAGTACTTGACATTTTTTTTACGTGAAATTATAATATTATATCAATTTTCTTCATATATTGTTATCATAAATATGGATTCATGGTTATAGATTCATAGAATTTTTAGGAATTATAATATAATATTATATTATACAATACTTGCTAAAAAAGTATATGCTCAATCGTGCTTTACCGTATAAATTAATATAAATTTTTTATTATTTCACCTGAAAATAATAGATATATTATGTTTGTTTCAAATAGAGTTACTGTTTTTGTTTATAAACATTATAAGATCTTATTTTTGTGAAYATGTTTTACTAATCATTGAAAGTAGGTAATTAAAAAATAATTTAGGTTTTTGAGTATTTATTTTGTATATTTGCTTTATATAAGAAAGTACTATTAATAAATATAAAAATATAATAATAATACAGTTTAATATACCCATAATAATAAATTATACTATGAACATTGTTTATTTTATTTTGAAAAACTTTATAACAGCGATTTCTAAACTTTTATGATTCATATCCCGTTACTTCGCTAAAAATTAAAATAAATTGTTCCATACATCTATATTATCTATGAATAATATATTAATATTAAAGAAAAATTGTAGTCAACTACATAATTTGATTTAAAAAGAAGCGTTATTCGTAGAAAATTATATTTATAAATTAATTTGTATGGCTAAAAGTAAAAACTTCTAAATATTTTTCAAAATAATTAGAAAAAAAATACCCATAATCATTTTTTTGACAAAGTTTTTTTTTTTTTTTTTGTAATTCAAAAATTAATAACTATAAAGATTTAAAATGTTCACCAAATATTTATATTAGCATATTTTAAACATGCTATTATTTTAAACACTGAACACAGTTACTTTTGTGAGGAATTATTCATCATTGAATTAAAATTTAACACATCCATTATGGTTACTTATTCTGTTACTCAATGAGTATGTACATTTGAAATCTGTACAGCAAGGCCACTTCCCTGTTTCTTTTTTATTTATCATATTATATTTCAATCATTTAAGTTTACAAAACTTTTTACTAAGATAATAAAGTTCATAAAATATTTAATTTAGAAATAAGTTTATAACTTAATTTGAAATGTTTAATCATTTATTTTTATTGATCACTATATTTTATTTTAACTTAGATTTTAAAACAATATTTTACAAAATAAAACACCAATTATTTTTTCAATCATCAATAGTTTGGAAGTATATACAATTTTGTGGGTAAAATGAATACATTCTTTGAATCAGTTTAAATTTTAAATTATATTCATAAAATTTTTTTACATTTCATAAAACAACAAAATTAAAATTAAATTACTTTTTTGTATCTGTTATAAAAATGAGTTTGTTTCTTTTGATGTAATTGTTTCTGGTATTTGGTTTAAACTATATTGGGCCACCTATCTACAAGGTAGCTGAGAGGGTTTTGTATATTTATTAAATATTAATAAATTAATTAAACAGTTTTTATTTAGTCCATGATTAGGTAACTACAATAGTTTAATAAATTACTCAATTTCCAGCTAATGTTTGCACAGACTTCTAGTGCTTTTTTTGTCTCTACCTTAACAACATTTTAGTGTTAAACTATCAATAAAAATAAAAATCGAACTGTGATTGTCTTTTATATTATTTGCCACTGTTAATGGAGTTTATTCTTAATAAAATATTTAAGGATCTTTGAGTTTATAAATTGCAAAAATAAATTTAAAAAAACTGAATATTTCAAGTTAATAATGAATATCATTCTAGAAAGAATGTTGATGATAAGTTGTTCAATATTTTTAAAGTTAAGCATAAATTTGCTATTTTTCTTTTTTAGATTTTTAGCAATTAAATGTATGCTATTTATACTCTTATAGTAATACATATACAATAGCGAAATATTTTGTATGATAACTAAACTTCTCTGTTAACATTAAAAAAAAAAATAATTGTAGTTAAACTCATTGAGTTTTTAATGAAAATATTTAGATAATGTTTATAATTAGTGTTTATTGTTTACTAAAAAAATATGTTAATACATTAAATTCACATGTTTAAAATTAATTTTACAGATCAGCGTTTGACAATGAGACAAATTGCAAAGTAGCCATAAAAAAAATCTCACCATTTGAGCATCAAACATATTGTCAACGGACATTGCGAGAAATTAAAATATTAACTAGATTTAAACATGAAAATGTTAGTAYGATAAATCTTTACAATGATTACCTGTTTGTTTACATTTTTTAAATTATTATTTATAGATAATTGATATAAGAAATATCTTACGAGCGGAAACTATTGAACAAATGAAAGACGTATATATTGTTCAATGCTTGATGGAGACTGATTTGTATAAGCTTTTAAAAACTCAGGTGAATTGAAATATTAAATAGTAATATATAAGTATTTATAATTATATTTGTTGTACTATAGAAAAGTTATTAGTTTATGATTATTATAAGTAATGAAATTGATTATTTATTTTGTACATATTACAGAGACTGAGCAATGATCACATTTGTTATTTCCTTTATCAAATTCTCCGAGGGCTTAAATATATACATTCAGCAAATGTCCTCCACCGTGATCTCAAACCTAGTAATCTGCTTCTCAACACAACGTGTGATCTCAAAGTATATATATTGTTTATCTTAAAATTATTTTATTCAAGGATTTGTTGAGATAATGTTTTTAACTATTTATTTTAGATATGTGATTTTGGTCTTGCAAGAGTTGCAGATCCTGATCATGATCATACTGGATTTCTTACAGAATATGTGGCCACAAGGTGGTACCGTGCTCCTGAAATTATGTTGAATTCTAAAGTAAATATTTATTTTAACCAATAAAATAAATAAATAACGAAAAAATTATTTAACTTAAAATTATTTTACAGGGATACACTAAATCAATTGATATGTGGTCAGTTGGTTGTATTTTAGCTGAAATGCTTTCCAACAGACCAATATTTCCTGGTAAACATTACTTAGACCAGTTAAATCATATATTAGGAATACTTGGTTCACCAACTGCAGTCGATTTGTTGTGTATTATAAATGATAAAGTATGTAATTAACTTGTTGTATAATTCTTAAATAAATGATTAAATAATGTTTATTTTTTTCATTTTTATAGGCTCGGAGTTACTTACAATCCTTACCTTTCAAACCAAAAATTGCATTTTCAAAACTTTACCCAACAGCTGACCCAAAAGCTTTGGACTTGCTTGATAAAATGCTGACATTCAACCCTCATAATAGAATCACAGTCGAAGAAGCTCTGGCACATCCGTATCTTGAACAGTATTATGACCCTGCTGATGAGGTATGACATTTTTTATTTAAGTATTATGYATATTATTTTCTTATATGACTAAGAGAAAAACCTTGCAAGCTAAAATACAATTTTTGTACTGATGAGTTCACTGTACATTAAATAAAATAATCAAAATATTACCCATATGTTATTTATATAATTATTTAATATATATATATATATATTTATATAATTATTTAATATATATATATATAACATATAAATCTTAACATATAATATCTGATCCAAATCACAACTGTTAAATTACTTTTATAAAATTTGATTAGATAAGATCAATTTACGAGGTTATTTTACATAGCCATCAACAGTGGCATATTTTAGTTTACAGAAGAAAGACTTGCCTCCCTGACATTTTTGTTGGGGAGGAGAGAGAGAACAAGGGTTTAATTTCCCTCGTCATATATGCCTTATATTTTTACCTTTTTATTAATGAACTCTTATGAACTCTTGTGTACTTAATATTATTTATCACTAAGAGGGATACCTTTAACTATGTATAGTTAGTTTTTAAACAACAAAATTAGCTGTTCTAATTCTGCTTCTTCCACCATCAAAGGGTAGAACATATAATTTTTATATACCATTGACGTACGGATTAGTAATTATTTTTGTTAATAATTCTTAATTTGTTTGAATTATTTTCTCATTTCTTTAACACATTGAATGTAAGTAGTAATAATTAGTATAAAATTGAACATTAAATTAAAATTACATAAAAAAATTATAAATAAATTATGGTTTAAAAAAGAAAAAAGAACACACATATTGTATAAAATTATATTTATTGTTGATACAAAAGTACAAAATATTTTTAGTAGTGTATACAAATATTCATGAATCATGAGTAATCTAAAAACTACATAACAAATTTTTGAATGCAATTATTTTGATTAGTTTCTTGCCGAGAAAAAATTTATTTTTTAATACATAATATATTGTTAAATTTAGCTCACACTTATAAGATTGAGTACAAAGAATAAAGATTGATAGTATATTTAGTGGCAATAGATATTAATCACTCATTGCCGCATGGTATTGTCCTAGAGCTGATTTAATTTTTTATATATGACTTCTCAACCAACATATCCAGGGCAAAATAATTTGTTTTGTTTATCACACCATTATTTTATTGAGAAATTGAGACTTAGATAAATTATATTAAAACTTAATTTTCATTAATTTATTGATGAATGAATTGTTAATTCATAAGAAATAGACACGGATAAAAGTAAATATAAACATTTTGGAAAAGAAACCCTTCATTTTTTGAAAAYTATTAAATTACTATAAATTTTTACAACTGTATTAAAGATAAATTTTCTATTACTGTTTATGATTGTGCTTAAAGCATAATTTAAATTTAAGTAATTTCATTAATTTTAAATTGAACAAAATATTATATTATTAATGTAATTGAATTTTTTTAATCCATCATTAGCTTTTCGTTAATCTTTAAACAATGATTTATTTTCCTAATTTTTAGTCAAAATAACTTATTAAGTCTTTAGCATATTATAGTTCAGTCTCCTCCAACTCCGCTATTGCAATGGAAATTATCTGTCTATTACTAATATTTATGTGTGTATACCTAACTGTAGTTAATGATATATATATATATATATATATATTATTATTTTAACTTGATATTAAGTAGTAATAATGTACATGTTCTATGTGTAAGAAAAGTAATTAAATAATAAAAATTAATATATTATTATAAACAAAAAAATTAAGCATTATTATACATTCATCGTATATTTGTATGTAAAAATCAAATGTGTTGCCCTTTGATGGTGATCTCAGTGGTTTCTTACATAATCATGGATATCCATCGGATTAGCCAAAATATTAATTTATAACAATGGATGATTAATTACCAATTATTGTTATAGTTGATTTTTAATTTCTCTTATTTCTTGTTTTTAGAGTAGTTAAATCTTTTAGATAATTTATCTATAGAAAAATTAAGAAWTGGTTATATTTTGAATTAGGTGCTTTAATTTTTTAAAATTATTTGGAAAATACTTTTTGTTTGTCAATTTATTTTGACAGGTTCGTGGTRTAGACGACAGATGTTGTCATTTAACATTTAGTTCTTTATGCTGTATGATGCAAATTGGTGTCATATAACTTATTAAATGCACTACTATTTCATCAGTGTTATTATTAAACAATTTGTTTTTTGTTAGCGTCTCTCATTAGTAATATTTTAAGTAACATGTTAGTCATTATGTTGTAGATTGATATATTAATTTTCAATTTTTAAGATTTTTTTTATTAACGACCAACTGTTCAGGGTCACAACAAGTATACATGCAGCGAGTGTATTATTTTGTATTTATTATCTTTTTAATTGTTTTTAATTTTTAACTTTTATAGCCTGTTGCAGAAGAACCATTTAGATTCGCGACAGAGTTAGATGATCTACCAAGAGAAACATTAAAACAAATGATCTTTGCTGAAACTGTGAATTTCAAACAAAATGTGTAGGAAAAGTACGGATACTATATGTTTTTAATTCCTTACAATGTTTAAACTTTTATTCTTCTAAATTTTGAACTTTTATTGCATTTCAATGTTTGATACATTTCTCGCTTCTTTACAGTTCTTTACAATATAATATAATCCTACCCTTAAGTTTAAAATATTCATCTTAGTATTAAGTACGACTTATTATGTAGTTAAATTGTATGTATTATTATTATTATAAATTTAATATTTAATTTATATTATTTGATTTTAATCAAATTTGTTGTTACATAATCAGATATTAGCCTTATAAAGTATTTTCGCCAAAGCATATTTTCCTTTTGAGTGACAAAATTAAATATTGTTAATTTTGAAATATTTAATATTATTAATGTGATCGTTTAAATGCAATCGCTGCATGATAAAAAAAATTATTTAGCTAGAATTTAAATAGTGTATTTTTTTTTGTCCCATCCGGCCATTTCTCCCATTCCCTGTCATTTGTGATAATATTCATGGTACTTATACAGTATATTTATTAATATTTTATTATTAGATGTCATTTAGAAATTAAATCAATGTAAACATCACAGAATATTAAATTGTGTTGTTAGCCTAATTAAGAAGTAAATAATTAAAACATATTGATATCACACATTTTAAAGTTAAAAATTCAATATTTTCTTTAATTGTTTCACAAAAAAATATTAAAAATTGTGCTATTAATACCGTAAGTGACCTATTTTTGAAAATAAAGTCGATTAAACATTTAATAAAGTTCAATTGAGTGATTACGTTCCTTTGAAACCAACTTGTATATAATTTTTGCTATTATATGTCTAATATATAAGTATATTTATTTTTATTAATTCAATATATCTTCCAAGCTTAATACTTGACAGTTTTCATGTATTTATTAGTTTTGCTCATTGTAAACAGTTTTATTGTAATTTAACAATAACATTTATTGTATTTTTTAAGAAATTTTCTTTAAAAATGTTGCAACTTTATAATGAAAATGTAATATTCAGTAAATATGTGATAGTAAAATTATTCGTTATTAAACCACCTCTAAAACTTACTATTTAGTCAAGACTACAAAATTAAAATATCACAATATATTTATAACATAMAGGAAGTTACAGAAAAAACTGAGAGGTGTAATTTACTAATTAAGTAACAAATTTTATTCTTATTAATTGTTTTTAATAAAATGTTTTTCATTTAGATATTATATGGAAATAATTGTTAATTGTATAAAAAAAGATAATATTGATCAGAACAAAATTTACTACAAGATAAATTATATTTATCATCTATTTCTGTTACACTCTGTATATATTTAGTGACTAAATTGTATTTTGACGATTCGAACTGATTATTTTAATGTGTTCTCAGAGGCCTATCATTTTATATATTTATTAATTTATTATTATTATTATTAATTAAACAAAAATCTAGATAACTTTTGTTATATGTCTTAGAGCTTACAAATGCTATTCAATTTATATTGTTAATATACAAATTACTAATGATCAATGTTTAAAAACTAATTAAAGCGCGTTGGGCTAATTATTACTTTTTGTAATATGCTTATGAACACAAATCTTGTTTGAGATTAAGTACAAAGCCAGAAAATTAAGAACAATTCTAAGTATTAACTTTTAAAAAATATTTGTAGTATTCATTCATCWTAATATGTAAAATAATTGTTCACATACAAATTATTGGTATAAATGCTAAAATAATAGTTATTTTTATTCCTATATTAATTCATTAATATAAATTTTAAACCTTACAATATTTTGTACTTGATTAGATGAATTACTTACCCATTAGTATGAAAACATTCTTACATAAAATTAGATGATGTAGCAGGGTTTTTTTGCAAAACTATTTAAGTATCAGTAAATAATAAAATAAAATTATTTGAAGATTTTTCATAATGAGTGTCTACTATATTTTATACTTTTATTATATTCAATTTTATTAGAAATAATAGCAATAAAAATAGTTTTAAGTAACCACAACTTTCATTTATATTAATTATTTGTGTTTATATGTGAGTGCAAATATTTTACTATCAAATGAGCACAATATAACTGTTATTGACATACAAATTTACATATTTAATTAGCAACTAGTAAAAAAAAGAATTTTCCTTTACTCAAATAACTTTAATCAATTGAATTGGTTATGAAATGTGCTCTTTTGTTTTTTAACTACATATAATTATTGTGTTTAACTTTATGATTATGTAAATTATTAAAATCATAATAATATCGCATTTACATTATTTAAAATAATCATTATTCCATTAATTTTATTTATTGTTCGCTTTTTCAAACTTTATTGTTGTTATAAAATTGATACTTGAATGATTGTTAAGTAATGTATGAGGAGTAAAATATGTATTATATATTTTTGTCATTACGTATTAACAGTATATTTGGCAATAATATTTTACCTATGTTTGTGTAATTTATATTTATTAAATTAAATATACTGATGAATGACAATGTGTTATTAGTTTATAATCCATTAAATACCTGTAATATAATCAGTGGCGGTTATAACTGACTTTTAAGGGGGGGGGGCGGAAATTATAAAAAATCATAGGACAAAAATGAGTCGTTGTAATTTTTCCCCAATATTTTGAAATAATCCAAAATAGGTTCACCTTGTACTCTCAATTAAATAAAAAAAAGTATAGTCACAGATGCACAGTTAATCAACCATTTTAATAATAAAAATCTACAATAAAAGCATATGTCTTTTTTTGACTTGTTTAGCAAAACGTGTAATAATATATGTGAGTTTATGAGTATACAGCGTTTATTATATTTTTACTTTTTAGATTTATATTAACAGGACGCTAGACCCGCATGTGTTAATTGTGTTGTCTCCGTCTTACAAGTGCGTAACATTGCAAAAA